ACGTTGATAAAGCGATAAAACATTAAAAGCACACACGGCGACAACTGTTAGAGAACTACCGAAATTATTTGTTTGTCATAGACTTAGATAAATAACATACAAAAATAACATGTCGAAATATCCACTAATGTAAAATGTAATGTAGTTTGAAGGCAGAAGTATTAAGGATTATTTTAATATACGAGTATTGGATCTCCTCACTTTTATTATTTAGCAGCAAAACATAAAAGTTTTTTATAATTTGATTCTATGAGATTTATTTAATTTCCTATTTACATTGCGCATATTCTGTGACTTTCTTATCGCTAGCTTTTTCATATTAATGATTTTTACGAATTAATGTTATCTGGCTTTTTATTTTTAGGCATAGACATTTTTACATTCATGATTAAGTTATAAATAATGTAACCATGTGTTTAATAAGCACAAACATATGAAATACTAAATTAAATTAAACTTTAGGACAGCCTTCCCCTTGTATGAATTTTAATCTAAGTTATTGTGAAAGTGATTTACTTACAATCATCAAAAAAAGTACGCGTAATTTACATACGTACTTTGAAAGTGTGGGAAATGGCACTAAAAAATAATAATAAAATATTTATTCAAGATAAGCAAGTGCGTATATTATTGCACTACGAATTTGCTTATATTTGAATACACTAGTAATCATTTAAAACTCTGTATTGATTTGTAGGTGCCTGTAATTCACCAACCTGTTACTGTCAGAATTAATCTATGTGTTTACTTTGAACTAGGTTAACCAAACGACCAACTGTAACATGAGACTTGTCCTAATAAATTAAATTATTAAAAAAAATTTAAAAATCAATGACAGGGCGAACACAGTATGCGTCTTGCTTAACAAGATTTAACTAGTTAAGAATTTCTAAAAAAAACATTTTTATTGGCATTATGTAACTTTAAGGGACTAATAAATATTGTTTTAAATAAAATTTTTTTATAAAACTAAGTATAAGACGTAACATATATTTAATATTAAGTCTAATAACAAATACGTCGGCTTGAATTTTATTGGACGATCTCAACAAACCTTTATACGAAGCGATTCTTTTTATTTAAATATGCTAAATTCGAAAAGCTTTAAATTCTTAAAGTAGTATGATAAGTAATAATAAAAAAAAAATATATTTCATAAAAAATACAAAAGATTGTTTCATAATTGAATTATATGCATGCCTTTAATGAGACCATATACTCATTCATATATTGGCGTATATTTTGTTTCGATTTGATTGATTTGAAATCAGACAATCCCAGACGTTATCAGTGAAGATGCGTCTCCTAGTCAGTCGCGTGTGAACGTCCGCGGTCGACTTTATCGCCGTATTTTGCCAAAACACACAAACAAACACGCAGAGAGTCAACATATTATGGCTTCGATAAGCTATGGTGCTGTGGGAAAGCACTTCATAATTATTCCTATATACAAATAGAAGAGTGAAAAGTTCTATCGTTCCATTTAGAGGAAATCTATATTTAGTATTAAATATAAAGTACTATTTTATTGGTGTTTCTATTAAGACGTTGTCATGTCTCTTTAAATTTCCTGCATTGACGTAAATAACATTTTGTACACATTAGTGTAATTATAATAGGAAATTAAACGAAATCAAGGATAAATTATATGAAATAGTAGTAAGCTACGTAGTGTTTAAAGAATTTTTTTAAAACCTACTTAGTCTTCATTAAACAAGTACTTTATTACTAGTGTCTAAGACGCTAACGTTACAAATATTAGTTTTAGGTTGTGATTGTCCAATGTCAAACTAAATATAACTGACATCTATATTATTTCTAGAATTAAAACCTAGTAAATGTCTTTTCACTTCTTGTTAATATTGGACCTGGTCGAGATTGTAAGAGATATTATCGAAGTAGTACAAAAAACCAAAAAGCAAATAATCACATCCTCATTTTATCTGACACGAATGTCCACGTACAAGTTAAATAGTGTCGTAACGAGCGACATTACGTTATCACCAGATAATGCCATCTCACAACATCCATCCAGCGGTTCACAATCACACCGTTAATTTATGAATCATTGACGCGCCTGACACATGTCTAAGATGGCGTCCGTTCATCTGTCACCTGTCAAAGATAACGTCAGTTAAGTGTGAATTATTTGCTTTTTAAAAGCGTGCTTATCTCCTAGATTTGTGGGATTTCTGATAATCAATAATGTTAGCATTTTATTAGAAATTTGGAATACATCTATAAAATATTTTCAGTTATACGAATTAGATTTTACATAACGCCATTTCTGTGCATCTATGTTTTTCTCTATGTGGTGAAAAAACATGTAAATAGGAGTACAAATTTTTCTTACGCACGACTTAGTATAGGAATCTCAAATCAGAGTGAGTTACAGAAAAATGCTTACGTCTATTCCCCTTATGCATGATAATACATAGGGGTGCATACTTTAAGAACAGTATCACAGTATGGACAAAACTTCACATATTACAAAACACTATAAGTGGTAATCAATTACGAGACAAATAACCCAGGAGAAGAGTAACTAACTAATATTTTTTTAATCGATCTGAGACAGGCGCACTCTATGTTATTTATTAGTCTATGAAAGAATAAAGGACTCAACTCCTTCTAAAAGACAACTCTAGAAAAAAGTTATATAGCATAGTATAAAAATAAATAAATGTCACATTTAATTTATACATTAGTCAACACCCTCCGACTAATTTCATCTAACAAATGGAGTAAAATTAATTCAGGCCTCTCCAAGCAATTTGGGAAACATTATAATCGTATTTAAACGTCAAGAGTCCAATTTGCGCGCGAAACTTTGTCCATAAATAACGTCCGCCATGTTGTTTTTGCGTTAGGAGCCACCGAGGCTGTACTCTGTCACGCTTTTACTGTCTACTTATCTTTTTACTTCTTCGTATACATTTTTAATGTAACTAATTCCTCATAATTGTTATATGACTTTTATATAGTACGGGTTTCGTAGCACTGTCGGTTTTAGTTCTTCCAGCGACCTTGACGACAATTCCACGGCGCCCTCTTTTTGACCATGATTAAGGGGGTTCTTTTCTGTCAGGCGCCCAACGCACAACCTCGCCCTACTCTAACGCCGACTGTTTCGTAATTACAAAGAAACCTTATCAATACTCTACAGCACAGGTAATACAATAATATAGCCTTATACATAAGTATTTGAATAATGTTTCTAGCTGACACTTAATGTTCGATAACTTAAAAGCTTTTATTACCAAGATGATATCTATAAAGCTCAGGTCAAGTCTCAATTCGCCAAGATGTAGTAGAAATTGTTAGATTTAATACTTTCATAAATTAAGTAATTTTGAAAATGCCCATTTTCATTAGAGAAGGGAGGAATCGAACGGCGAAAACCGAATAGATTATAAAAAGGTTCGATATAACTTTTATAAGGATAAAATCCATTAGACTTATATTAAAGTAATAAGTTAAATGTAAGATAAACACAATAGTACATAAGTTTACGTGTACAAGTGTTACAACAAAGCAATCTATTTAATTCGGTCGGCGGCAACTGCATTCGGAAGTTATTCATCGTTCGAAGTCAAACCTATAAATATGTCAAAGAAAAACCCTGCATCTTCTCTCTGTCTTTGTTGTAAAGCAAAGTATCCTGCCATCTTTATCTGCCGGTGGTGCTATTGGCTTGAAAACTTCTCGTTCCGCCCCTCATTATAGAGACAATGGAGTGAGAAAAAAGAAATAAAGTATACCCGTCCCTGTCTACCGGCTGCGTTCAGAAAACGTGTGCAAACGTTGTTTTAAGTAGGAATTTCTTTGGCTAATGAAATTATTTGATTACTAGAATTCGCGAGCGCCGTATGAATTTGATTGTGAACTCGCAAGGATTTATGGAGATTTTACATCTTGAATTTATGTAGACATGTGTCTTTAATGAATTGAATTGGTAATATAAATGTACTTTTATCAAATGTTAAATATTTTTTTATATTTCGGGATTGGGAATTGAAATATTTCATATCTTTACATTTTTTTAACAGATTTTATTGCTGATTGTTGAATACTGAAAAGCTTAACATGAACTCGTTTCAAATGTAAAACAATTCATGTTTATGGATTAAAATATTCATCACAAAAAAAACCTTTTTTTTTCAACATTATAAAAATAACTACAGGTAATTTGCCCACTTACATCATAAATTATAAATTTAATGCTTATTTGCGAAAAAAAAGAATATTTAAAAGAAAAAATATACTAACTTTAAAAGTTAGTAAGGGGCGACTATAGTAGGAAACATAAAAATGACTGAAATATTTTAAATATTGCTAATAAATAATATTTAATAAATTTATGTTACTAAGTAATTATGTAGTTAAAATTACGTTCACTTAATAATGACTTAAGTTTTATTTTAACAAGCAGCAATTTCCCGTGCAATTATTTTTCGTACAAAGACCATTAAAACGGTAAACGAAAGCTCTAAAGTGTTCAAAGTCCAAACAATGCGAAATCCAGTATCGCGGTTTAACCAGTACTTGGCTAAGTCATGAAGCTACTCGTACGGAAATAGCATCGCTTTCAAGAGTAAAAGAGACGACCGAAATACAAAAGAGATGGACGAAAAAAGGGTGGGGCGTAAACACTTACCAGCAACAAAGGGACTTCGCACTTCAACTATGTTAAGGTATCTATGGGTCGTGTTAAGCTGGTGATACAGTAACGCCCCGTCGTTTTGTCCACATACGGTACAATATGGGACGATAATGGGCGATAGCAGTCGCTTTAATAAAATAATCCAGTTGTTTGTAACTACTGCTCGGGACTGGATTTCGGAGAGTCGCGCCAATTTTGACAGATCGCGGACTAATTTTTTTTTAAATTTTAATCGTTTAAAAACGAAGTGGTCAGTATTTATATAAAAATATTAATGACATTTTTTGTGATGTGTTTTTAAAAGTGTGTTGTTAGCTGCTTTTATTTGCATTTTTTTATTTATTTAACCAAGGTAAGAATATCTTTGCTATCAAACAAAGTTTAACAAATTTAAGCGTGATTTAAGTACGGTAAAAATATTTTGTCAACTAAACAACTAAATAAAAGTCTATTTTGAAATTTCTTTGGTGTCTGCAAACTTTGCATTCAATTTCCAGACCTGAAGTCGTAAGTTTAATTAAGACTGTATTGAAAAATATAAACATTTTGATATAAATTAAAACAATTTAATTAACAATCTTTAAAAATGTCCTTTTTAAATTTCTTGAAATTACTATAAGGCGCAATATTAATTAAAATTAAAAAAAACAACAGCTAGTGCTCTACAAACTCTAATTCTTACTTAAATAAATAAACAAAAAGTAATAAAGACATGCAATCGGACGAAAGTTGCCTGAAAAAAAAATGTCGTACGCAATTGTTAAATTGCTTATAGCTTCTCTTCTATTAACCGCAATGTAACTGCATTATCTATTATATGATAAAATGTTTAGTAAGATTAAGGTTTATGTTATATTAACTACCTAAATTGAACCGTAGGTTTTAATATCGCGTATCTGATGACGTCGCGTGTCAAGTCTCCATTGTATTCGATAACAGAATATTAAAATACGATGATGTCTTTATTACCAGTTGAGCTCTGATATAACTTAATTAAGCGTTAACCACTCTATTACTTTTTTATCTTTTTAATTAAATCATATTGATATGTAGACAGCTATCAAATTGAAAAAGTAAGGTATTAGTCGAATTAACGTGGGGAGTCGTATGGGTTTTCCGAAAAATATATATTTTTTTAGAATATCTTTTTTGTCTGTATGAATACGGCTATTATGTAGTTAAGAGACTTTGATATTATAGAACTAACCGTAGGTTTTTGCTGTCGAAAAACATGAACAAAGGATATTGTTATCTCTATTTTTTGAAGACAAAGAAAAGATGTTTGCGTATAGTGGTTCCGGCAACGAAAATCCACAGTTACAATATTTTAATTTATTTCAGAACAGTGATGAAACTTATTGAAATTACAAATTGAAGATCATGTCGTCTCAAATTCTACCTCAAGCTATGTACCGCCGCGATTCCGATGAAATGCAGGAGAAACCTCTGGAAATAGACCAGGACTCGAACCCCGATCGCAGCCAGTCCAACAGCCCGAAGAACATGAAGTATTACAAACACATAGACGAAGATAAAACAATAATCAATCAAGGAAAGAAATCGTTTTGTATTGACGCGTTATTATCTCGGCATATCGAACCTGAAACAACTATTCAAGACAAAATGGCGCAGCAGAAATATTTATCATTTATACAGAATAAGAATTATATTGCGAGATATCAGAATGAGAATTACGAGGCTCAGATAGAGCAGAATACTATAGATAGATGTCAGAATCGTGGGGAACAGGGGTTCGATAGAGTGGAGAGTGAGAGTCCACGGTCAGGACAGAGCAGTCCGAGAAGTGGCACGCCGGGATCTGACGATGGGAATAGATCGGAGAGTTACAGCCCGCCTATTTCGCCAGGAGTCGAGGGAGCGGCTGAGGAGTACGATACTTATAGACCTGGTGAGTCGCATAAGAGTGTAGGTCCTCTGATATGCTTATGTAATATTCCCTTCGTTTTTCTCATTGTTTTCGATGAATCATTGTTAGTGTCTAATTCAGACACTTTGTTCATCAACTCTTCAACGAAACATTTAATTTCGTAGCGTAAAATAAAGCTTGAATGCAACCAGATTAAAATACGTCTTTTGCGTGTTTGTGTTAAATGTAATTGTGCAATTACACCAGGTTTTATACTTTTGACAATCTGATCTGAACTGACGTAGTAAATATTTTTCCGCCAGGTATAATTCCGAAGCCAGGTCTACTGCCACAGAATCCCGCGCTGGTCGCAGCGCAGTCTTCTCTATTCAACTACCCACAGCTGGCGCAGCCCGGGCCTTTGCCCCCGGGGGCTCCGCTGCCGTCCGCATTCCACCACCCCGGTGACCGCGTGTTACATCATATGCAGCTCGAGTGGTTGGCAAGAACTGGGATGTTTTACCATCGGATACCAGAATTGGGAGGTTAGTAAACTTTGACAACGTAATAAGTATGTTAAAAAAGGCTTAGTTTATAATTTGTTTGAATATTTCTTTGTATAACAATAAGTAACTGCGAAGACAATACATTTCTAAAGATGGGTTAGAATTGGAAAATTTGGAAATTGGAAATTTTGGTTTTCTAACAAAATTAAAATTCCAAACTATTTTTATATGTTATGACTTGCATGACTCAATATTTTTATGTAAGTTTTAACAACTACAATTAGCTTAACTTTTTAACACCACCAACGCTCTCCCCCAACATTCGCGGCGCGGTTTTCCGATGATTGTCGGCAGGGGGCCGTCGCAGCACATGGCGCTGTTTAGTGTTAATTGATCATCAAACAGAACCTGCACAAAGCCGAGGGGCTAGAATACTTATTTACATGTGACCGGTATAAATGGTTGTGCATTTTTATAGCCCTATTACGAATAACTCTTGTAAAACTAAAACAATTTAACTACAAAACTGTGTAAAACTTGGACATCTTAATTTTCATTAGGAATTTAAACAATTTAGTTATCTGTACTTCTATACTGATATAATTAAGAGGAAAGATTGGTATTTCTGTATTTATTGATATAGCTCAAAAACTACTAGACGTTTAAAAAACCCATTACGTTAAGAAGTTACGTTATATGTGAGCTATTTTTTCTATTTTTAAAATCACGTAGACGAAGTCACGAGCAACAGCTAATTAAGGATAAATCGTTAAAATTGAATTCCATTTATTCACGTTTCATGTAATTATTTAATTAACTCGTTTCGTTAGGAATACTTAAAGTAATTGTGCTCTAAATGGCCCTTGAAAGGGGCAATTTCTTGAAATGCTTTGAAAATAAAAGAATAATCTTTTAGCACGGTGCAATTTGAAGAATTACTGCAAATAATACTAATGTTATATGAAACTTCTATCGAACCAACACAAACCTCGCTACTTTGTATTATTATTCAATAACATCAGAATCTATAGTTTCGAAAATAAAAATAATAATCTAGTAGACAAATCATAAATACGGTTTTGTAAGCTTTATCTGAATTGGGTACAGTGGGTAAATCAGCGAGAGAATTAAGCCGGTATATTTGTGAGCACACCCTCCGCGCTCTCTGTTTGCTGTCCACACATGTCACCTGTTCACAACCCTTTCATCTACTGTTCTCACATACGGCACTGGTGACTACGACTGTATTTATCCGAAATATTAACTTAGGCATAAATCACAAAGATATGCAAAATGTTTACATGTTAAAAAATTCTATTAATTTTCGATTAAATAAAACTTTTATTTGTTACTTCTACAAGCAATTAAACGGATTGTAATAAAACTAAGGAATATATAAGATTTTTCAGTACAATACTTTATTTTAATTGTCAATAATAATCGCGGGCGTCTTTACTTTCTTTTTTTTCCTCGAATAACATATGTTATATTGATATATCAGGCAGTAATAAAAAGTAAAACTTTAAATAAAAGTATCTAAATCATCCCACATTCTTAATTTAAAAAATGATCCAGTACGATACAACAAAAACCGAATTGAAGTTTTTTTTTTGATAAATCGTATAGGATTTCCATGACTATCATTATCCAAGAAGATAAAATATATTTATGAACTCGAAGTGATTGCAATTGTAATAAATATAAAATATTTATTATTTTTAATCTAATCTTCGTCTCATCAATCATACATTTAAAATCGAGTACGTCTCCACAAGACATATTAATTCCTAGTAACACGATAACGTTCAGCATCCCACAGAAATATTATCTTTATAAAAGCTAGAATCAAATGATAAGATGTACAGAGCTCATGTGGTTTATGTTTATACAAAGCGACACACCTCTTGGAGAAATACATCGATATAATTTCAATCTTTATTGTTATTTGGTGTAATTTAATTCAAATTATTATCGATAGACTTTCATAATATTCTAACAAGCTTTTTACATGTAATTACACAATTTTTTAGTAATTTGTTATGACTGTGAACTATAAATTGCTGAAAAAAGTTCTGTTTAATTAAGGGTATGTCCCACCAAATTGTAAACTGTCTGATAACAATCCAACATGGAAAACATGTGAAGGAAATATCTATTTTTGTTACCTTATATGAACGTTACGTCATTTTTATCTATCTGAGTCTCTATCAGCCAGTGGTGGGACAGGCCTTAAAAGTTTTAAATTCAAAAGCAGCTTTGCCTTTGGCAGTTCCTCGGATATCAAGGATGTGAATACGCGTCAATATACACTTCGGTTTCCCGCTGCTCATTTACCATTTTCTATTATAAATATAAAAGCCATAACCGTGTACATTTAAGATTAAAAAATGGAATAAACCGTAAATGGCTAAAAAGTGTTGAAAACGATATAAGTAAACAGCAATCTTCAATACGAAGTAAGACCAGCGGAAATGCGTGATGGATTAGATTGTTAAAGATATTTGATATCATGTTTTGTATCAGAAATCTCTCAGCCTCTCAATCTTGAGTTGATTGATAAATTACGACACGAAATAGGGTATTTCCGGAGATAATGAAACTGTTTTTTAAGAATGATCTGATAATTCTTCACAGGATGAATGGAAGGATAAAAGATAGTTATGTACAAACATGAAACTACGCTTTGTTTAAAAATGTAAATTGTATTTGACCTCTTTTCTTTATTTCCAATATTAGCTTTCGCCAGCAACTCTATTTGCGTGGAATTAAAAAAAACAAAAGTGATTAGCCTATGTGTTCTCCCAGAATATCTAACATATGTACCAAATTTCAACGAAATCCGATCAGCCGGTTAGGCTACAAACTCTAACAAACATCCATCCATCCATCGAAACTTTCGCATTTATAATATTAGTATAAGTATGAAATATGATTTATGGGCACAAGTACCTAGTTATTATTTATTAGGAACGGAAATTAACGAAGTAAAGCACCATTTGTCAATTACATTAGGTTAGTGCGAAAAAACAGATTAAAAGTTTTTTCTTTTTTATCATTTTAACATTCTATTATCTATGGTCCTAAATAGATTTCATTATGAATGAACATTAAGTAAAAGCACCATTTGATGGTTACAGCTATCACATATGTCGGGTCGGGACACCGCTTTAGGGCCCTGGATGGCATTTTATTGGCGGGGTGTTGAGTGCAAATCTTGCGTGATTTATTTCCCAGAAATTAGGGCCTCGATCCATTAACGTTAAAGTGAGCAATAAAATTACTTACCGACATTTATTACTAAATTACATTTCGTATCATATTATAATTTAAAAATACAACTAGAGTAATTTAATAGTTCAGAAATACGTAGCGTATATTATTTAGTTTTTTTTTTTTTATGGTATTAAATATTTATGGTAAATATGTTACCTAAGGTTACATACAATTAAAATTAATTAAAACGAAGTGTAGTTAATAATATCAGTCTGTTTAAAACCAAACAACATAACGTACACAAACGTAGTAATAATCTCCCAATTAAGCCGCGACTTGTTAATTAAAACATTTCTCTTTTTAATCTGATTTTAAAAATTACCTTTGCGCGGTTTGTGATTTCGGACGCCAAAAATCGGAGGTAGACTGTTTGCGATTTTACAAATTTCACTTTTGCGCTTTTTTTTAAATTTAATTGCAAAAAAACTTATTTTTACATTTCATCACCTTACAGTCCATATGCCAAACTCCCCATACAAACTTCTCACAGCATAAGATGGGAATAGTTCTACTAAATATGCCCAAATATAATTGGACTTATTTTGAAGGAAATCTCTGTTAAATACCTAACCTTCAAAACAAAAGTTTTGAAGTTTCCAACAGACATAAAAACCAAGATAACTTTACTTTCGTTAAGTTTTTAATATTCTCACAATTTTTGACAGTATCCAGTTTTGTAATAAATGCTAATTAACCAGTTTTAAATTTAATGAATATCTCAAAAAGACAATAAGGATTACATTAACATTTAGCATTCGCAGCGGCAGTGTGTCGTCAT